TGGCCGTGAGACTAGGAAGCTAGGGAATATTTGCCCATGTAGTTACCATTTTCAATGCTCTTCATTTTTTGGTGTAGAGCCACTGTTCATCCGGTATCATTGTTTTCTGCCTGAAAGACTTTCTTTAACATTTATATTGTTACATTTATATCTGCTGGTGAAGAACTCTTTCTGCTTTTGTATCTCTGAAAATATCAGTTTTTCCACTTTAATTTTTGAAAGACATTTTCACTAGCTGTATTAAGGTTTTCCACAGAAACAGAACCGGGAGGATATACAGGCGGCCCTCGTCATAAGTTGAGGAATGTCCTGAATGCATATGGTTTTCCCACCATCACAAAGTAAAAAAATCATAAGGGAAAACACCATAAGTCAGGGACCATCTATATAGACAGGCATGGCTAGATAACAGCAGATTTATTATGAGAATTGGCTCACAAGATTGTGGAGACTGAGAAGTCCCAAAATATGCCATCTGCAAGCTGGAGAATCAGGAAAGCCGGTGGTGTCATTCATTCTGAGTCCAAAAGCCTAAGGACCCGAGGAATCAGTGGTGTAACTCAGAATGAGCAGAGCTGCTGCTGTGAACACCACAGTCCAATGGCCTGAGAACCAGGAGCTCTGATGTCTGATGGCATAAGATAGCTACCTCAGAAAGAAAGCTTTCTCCACCTTTTTGTTCTATTCAAGCCCTCAATGAATTAAATAATACCCACCTTCTGTGGTAAGGGCAGGTTTTTTTTTTTTTCTTCTTTTTAGAGACAGTGTCTCACTCTGTTACACAGGCTAGAGTGCAGTGGTGTAATCATAGCTCATTGCAGCCCTGAGCTCCTGGGCTCAAGTGATCCTCCTGCCTCACTTGAGTACCGAGGGCTGCATGTGCACACCACCATGCCCGGCTAACTTTTTTATGTTTTGTAGAGACAGGGTCTTGGTATGCTAAACAGGCTGGTCTCAAACTCTGGGCATTAAGCGATCCTTCTGCCTCAGCCTCCCAAAGCACTGGGAGTACAGGCAGGAGCCACCACGCCTGGCTGGCAAGTCTTTACTCAGTCTACTGATTCAAATGCTAATCTCTTCCAGAAACACCCTCAGAGACACAGCCAGAAATAATGCTTTACCAGCTATCTGGGCATCCCTTACTGCAGCCATATAAAACCTTGTGACATTAAATTAACCATCACACTGGGTAAGAATTCTAGATTGACAGGTTTTTTTTTTTTCAGTACTTTAAAGATATTATTTTGCTATCTTCTCAATAGTAAAATAAGAAATTTGCTATCATTCTTGTCATTTTTCTTCTGTATATAATGTGTTTTTTTAACAACCTCGGGTTGCTTTTAAAATTTTCTTATCACTTATTCTGAGTATTTGGGCCAGGAGGAATTGTAAGACAACAGTAGAACACAGTGTAAAAAAAACTTTTTTTGAGATGGAGTTTCACTCTTGTCACCCAGGCTGGAGCACAGTGGTGTGATCTCACCTCACCTCAGCCTCCAGAATAGCTGGGATTACAGGCACTCCCCACCACGGCTGGCTATTTTTTTTTTTTTTTTTTTTTTTTTTAGTAGAGATGGGGTTTCACCATGTTGGCCAGGCTGGTCTCGAACTCCTGACCTCAGGTGATAGTAAACTCATTTCTACATTCAGCATGTGCATGTACCGTTTGAATTGTATCCCTTCCCCAAAATATATGTTGAAGTCTTAACCTCCAGGACCTCAGTAAGTGACTTTATTTGGAAATAGGATATTTACAGAGGTAAATGAGCCTAGTAGGCTAGGCCATAATCCAACAACTGCATCCTTATAAGAAAGGGAAATTCGGACACAAGACAGATATGCCAAGGGAAGAAGATGTGAAGACACACAGGGAAGAGACAGCTACCGTACTGGAGCGCTGCATGTATAAGACAAGGAAGGTCTGGGATTGCCAACAAAACCAGAAGCTGGGAAGAAGCAAAGGTCTATCCCTTACAGGTCTCAGAGAGGGTAAGACCCTGCTCATACCTTGATTTCAGATTTTTAGGCTCCAGAAATATGAGACGATACATTACCATGCCTGACTTGTATGTTTTATAGCACCTGGTTTAGGTGCTTAGCAACCCTAGGAAATTAATACATGTATGTTTCATACACGTGTTTGATTTGGAGCACTGCACAGGTCCCACTCACTCAACCTCCCTCTGCACAAACAAGTTAGAAGATTCATCAGGACCAGCAATCCACACCAGGGGTACAGCATGCCAGGTCCGGAGCCCTGCTAGCCCCACCTTATTCCACTACAAGTGCCTTGTGGTTTGAGCGAATTGCAAGGTTTGCTAGACTGGCCACTGGAAGATGGTGGCTGCTGCCTCAGTGAATTTTTAATGCAAAGGGACTGGTCTCTGAAACCAGGGAACCACCAAATTCAGTCTAGGCCAAACTGCCAACCTTCCCAATTGTGAGCTAAATAAATGGTTGTTATTTTAAGTCACTATGTTTTGGAATGGCTTATTACATAGTGAAAGATAATAGAGCCCTCTAATAATGCTTGCCTTACTATTTGTGTATTTCTCATGTGAAAGCATTTATCTCCTTTTGTACTTGAATGAGTTTGGCTGAGTATACAATTTTAAGTTGGCAGTTACTTTCTATCAGTTCACTGAAGACAGTTTTCTGCTATCTGCTAACACAGTTGCTGAGATCTGTTGTCAGACTGATTATATTATCTTTGTAAGTATTCTTTTTCTCTGAATACTTATTTCTGATTGATACACTAAAGTTTCACACTGATGCATCCAGGGTGAGTGTGTGTGTGTGTGTGTGTGTGTGTATTCTGTCTCGAAATGTTTCCTTCCTCATTCCGAAGATACATACTTCTTTTAAGTCGGTAAATTCTCTATTTTCTCTTTAAGTATTGCCTCGCCCTCTCGATCTTCTTCCAGATCTCTATTAATTACTCTCTCCCTACTCCCGTTTTGCCTTCTGAGAACAAGGTTTAATGATGACTCAGAATTATGATTATAATCATTTCTAAAGTACTACCAATCCCACCACACTGTGTAGGAATCACTGACATTTTCCCCCTTTAAATTCCGAAAAGCCAAAGTGACTAACCATAGCTGGACTTAGCTGAGGAGGTACAATGCATTTCCTTATCAATAATTACCACAGAAAAAGCACACTTAGCTTACATTTCAAGTTGTCTTCAGTAAAGTCCGTTTTGCTTGCAGTAGTTGTATTCTCCTGGTTGCTCTTTCCCGAGTTCTGTTCTCAGTAATAGAGACAGACGTGAAAAAGTCTTGCTTTTCCCTTTCTGTGCCTCGGGAGCACCTGGCCCGAGGAAGCCTTGCAGGTGAAGGCAATCGGGGGCCTAACGGGCAGTGTAATAGAGCTCTCTGCATCGCAGCGGGGCTGAGAATTTCCACTCTTGGTTTCTTTTGCTTCCACCTGGAAGATTTACCCTAGTCTTTTCCTTTTTTCCCTTTCCTGGCAAAGTAAATGTTTTCTCAGCTGAACAGGTGAGTGTGGTTTCCAATCCTAGATGCAGAAGTAGGCCCAAGTCCCCGCATCACCCAAGGACCGCCCCACACGCCTGTTCCCGCAGCTTTTTCCTCTGTGCTGGTCCGGAGCCCCGTGGCTCCTATGCTTCTCTCCTGGTGCTAATGAGGCCCAAAGGCACAGGGGAGGGAGCCCAGCGCTGGCGACCTCATCCCCAGGCTCCCTATGTCTTTCAATTCCTTACATTTCTGATTATCTCTGTGCTGCATTCTGGCTTTTAAAAATCTAGCTTTATTTCCTCTTCGTCTGTATCCCATCTGTTTCACTCTTCCATTGAAATTATTAATCTATTTTATATCTAGAATTTTTAATTTTGCTTATGTCTGACCTTTCCCGTTTGTCCTTTAGTTCTTATGTTTTTATTCCCTCTTAATTTCTTTAAGTATTGTCAACATATTTGTTTTATACTCTCTACATGAAAACTCCAGTGTCTGATGGGGGAGGCTGCCTTGTTTTGCTGCATTGTTTCTGCTCTCACTGGGGCTTGTTTCCTCGTGAGTTTTTAAATTTTTTTTTCCTGTAAGCTCAGGTCCAGTTGATCTTAATCTTTGAGAATTCTGTGAAAACTGAAGGTTCATTTCTCTAGGGAGGATTTGTGTTTGTTTCTGCCAGGTGCTCCTGAGGTTACAACAGTAAGTAGATGAACTGAGTTAATTCAAAGACCGTTTCCAAATGTTATTCTCTGCTTAAAATACAATTTAAGCCAAATAAATAGCGTAGTTAGATCAATGAGATTTTAAGTCTTATCTTTGATCTATGTATTCCCTTTGAAGCTTCACATTTCCTTCCATAGCAGGTGATCATGGCACTATCTCTGATTATAGTTATTATTATGCTTATTTTGTTTGCTCAGTTTTTCAAGTAAAATTGCTAATTTTTAAAATATGAAAACACTGAACTGTTCTCAAAACCCATTATGAATTATAATCTCTCTCCATTTCTTGCTATCTAAATCTACATTATAAAAACAAATGAATAATTGGGAACTAAGCATCCAACAGAGTGAAATATTCTGTTACTTAGTTTTCCTTCATAAGACTTTCAATTCGCTTTGCCATACTTTAGATACTAAATGTATGAAGAATAAAAGTTAAAAGCCAAATGCTAATCTTGTATCACTGCTTGTCTTGTTTACTACTTGTCCTAGGTTTTCTGTGTTCTAACTAGGAAGACGTGAATTCAAACCACTGAAGAGACTATAACTATAAATAACTTGGGACATATGTTCCATTATAATTGAAAACACATAGTTAATAAACTGTGGGAAGGAAACTTTCAGATACATGGCATGGAATACGAAGGTGATGTTCTTTTTATAAATGTTAAAGGTAGCACATATTATATGAATTAAGAGTTTACAAGCAGAAAAAAAGGATTAGAAAACAGTAAAACTCGTGCACCCTATATCAACATGTAATTCCTAGTGAAATGTGTGTGAAATATAAACACATGACTTTCACTTGTTTTCACTTTATGCTTTTTAATAGAAATTAAATTAGTCACTTAATGTACATAATGCAGTGTTTGTTTTCCAGTCTAGTAGCTTTTCAACATTCAGTTTTCAGGCTCATGGGAAATGTTACTCAGCATCAAGATGTGGTTTGATGGGTGAACAGTGTGAGTATCAACTGTACTTAACAGAAGACAGAAGGGGCTGGGGCTAATCTGCGGCTAACAACATAAAAATAAAAAGAAACACAGATCCACAGTAACATCAACATGCATTATTAGGCAAAGATCCCAAATTAACCCAACCCACACAGATTTCTTCTAAGCAGAGATTATGCATGGAAACGGATACTTTATCAAGATCCATAGACATAGTAGTAAGGTTCATCAGGGCGGAATCCATACGCTGTGGCAGGGCGTCCAAGAATGCCAACTGGTTGGCCAAAGCCATCCATTCCAAGGCTAAAAAAGAGAAAAAGGAATGACAAGCTATGTTTTTCATCACACAGCCACAATGCAGGTCAAGTAAGAGGCCTAGATTTTTACACCATCAAGATTCTCTTCCTGGCAGAGATAGTGATTTATGTGGATATCTTTAATTTTTGTTCTTAAGGTTAATAGAGCCATTAAAAGTGTGTATGATAAAGTACTTCTAACAATGTGTGTTAGAAGTATGGGAAACCTCTGTCAGTAGGTACTATTCTAAACAGTGGAAGAATCAAGTCAGCAAAGTTTTATTTAAGAAATTACTTACACATGGCTCTTAAGCAAAGCTATGAAGAGATTTTACATGTTAGCAATGATCAGTAATATACTACTAGGAATAATAAAAATAAAACTGTAATAAGGTGACTTTTGCCATTTATAATGTCTTTTCATATGAAGATATAGGACTAATTCCACTTTTAGTAAAAACATGTGTTTGAGTTATAGCTGTGAACTCTCATGCAGGACCAAATCATACCATAAGCCCATGATTAAAAGAACAAGATAAGGAATTTGACAAAATTTGAAAATTAGTCAGATTTGATCTGCAAATCCTTCCTCTGATGCCTCAATGCAAACAATTACTAAAAGTATATATTTCTTTTGAGTGACAGCAAGACAACTGTGGTTCAACTTATTCTATGGAAATAATAGAAACTCACAAGATAACTTTTAGAGTTGTAAAATAAGTTAAACTTCATGATTATTACTTTTAAAAGATTATTTTTTGGTCTATTAATACATTATTTAGAGGAAAATCTGTTCTTCAGAGCCCCCTTTAAAGGTCAGGGAATTATCCAACACTTAGAAAAATGACAAAATATTTATTTTGCCAGGCAGAATATGGTGGCCTTTACATGCTCATGCATAGCTCATGCAGTGAATGCTAGTGAGCTTGACTTCCAATCAAAGGAAACCATTTGTAATGCAGAAATGTAAATTTTGAAAAAATAAAATATGTTTAAGTGATTTAAGATTTGAGTTTGCACTACATAAGGAGAAGGAAAGATAATTTTCTCTCAATAGCAAAAGCTGAATATGATTAAAATATATATTGACATAGGCACTAACTTCCTGTCACACTCAGAGTGAGATTAAGTTGACACACTTTGGGAGTAACTATTAAAATGTTAAGGTTTTAAATAAATGTGTGTATGTGTGTGTGTGTATTAAGATGGAACTAAAGAGTAAACGTAAAGAGCCAAAATATATATAACCCATACTGGCCTGGTGACTCTACCCTTTAGGAAAATGGAAGTTCTGAAATACAAGTTTCAGGTTAGCTTTTATACTGGACAAAATTCATTGTTTTGGGCTCCTTCATCAAAACTCTGTCTATAGTTTCTCAAAGTTGGTTGAAATTTTTAAGTCTGCATTTGATTTTGAAATGGTAAAAATATAAGCACCTTTTCTTACTTTGGTCTCATGGGAAGAGGGACTAAATTTTGTGATGAGGTAATCAAGAGGTAGCTTAAAAGATGTTTCAGAAATTAGTGGAGTCAGTGAACTAAGAGACACCAGTACCTGCTTCAAATTAGAGGAGAAGCCATTGAAAACTTTTCTCTGCAAGCACTAAGGCTAACAAGTAATCATACATCTAAAGAACTCTCAATTATATAACTGTTGATTATATTTTTTGGATTTCAACTTGTTCCTTCTTCATCCTTCTGCTTATTACTGTCTTCAACCAGTCCTTATCTTTTTTAGCAATTCCTTTGAGGTCAAATAACAGTAAACTTAGGTTAAACTCAAGTTAATCTTAGGCTTGTTTCTCAATCTAGGGGCTAGGGCAAGCTCTATTTCAATAATCTGAAAACAAGAGGCATATGTGGGACAGTGAGGAAACATACAAAGGCACCTTCAAAACAGAGTATATGACAGATGACTTGCTAGCAATATCACTGTAACTCTATCTAAAAGAAGATGGTCCTCAGAAGGGAGTTCGCCGGTCAACGGCACAGAACAAGGAACTTCTCAGCTACAATGCTGGTTGTAGCAATTCAAAAAATTGCATGGTGATCTGGTGACTAACACCATTAAGGAGTATCTGGCCTTTTTGCAGGTTGGTTCTCATTCAGGAAGGGGATTTAACATTCTCAGAGTCTGAGGCCATTCTACATTCAAGTTGCAAAATTCTCCCCTTTTTCTATTTCTATGAATAATAGGCAAAATATTGATCATTGTTTTCCCATGTAATTTGCCAACAGGGTAAATAATAAACTTAGATATTACCTAATCCACCTGATGGCTTTAACTTTCATTGTACAGTAACAAATGGATATTGTTTTCTCTTTTTAAAATATGTCATGTACACTGTTGATAGGAATCTGCAGGTCCCAAGTCAGTGGAAGACTGACCCCTGAGCACTGATGACTCTGAATTTCTGAACCTGTAAATCTCTGGTCTTGAACAGTAAGGTCTTTAGGTTACTATGGTAAAGATCTTTTTATACAGTCAATAGTTCACCCAGAGACATCTATGTGTATTACAGTGTAGAGGACATCATTTAATTTTTTGAATTTCTATATACAAATATCATTTTGGGAAAAAGGAATAAAATTTGAAACCAAACTCTAAAATGATCTTTTCTGGAATTCTTCGTCATGTATCACAGATGGACTTGCTGTTTAAAGAAAAAATCATTTATGACAAGTTTGGAGAATACTTTGACATAGGTCCTGGGTCCCTTTGTATTACGAAAAATGAACTGTATCTACAGAATTAATATATTTTTAATTAAATTCACTGTGAAACATAATAGTTTGTTTCTTTAATCTCTCTTATTTGCTTCTTTCTAATACAGTGGGGGAAAATTAGGCTTTCCAGGATGCTAAAACCTGGAGATATTCTGGTGGAATATGTAGATACTTCACTTTTTTCCCTGGAAAAAGGATATACCCTTGGTAATGCTGAGTTTAGTTCAAAACCTGGAGAGTTTTCCTTTCAACAGTAGCAGACAGATTCTTCATGTAAGTCCTTGAAGGAGATAGAAACTATGAATATAAAAAGGCAGTGTTGCAGCAAAAACTGGGCTTTCCTGATCTGGACAGACTTGATTTAAATAGTGTGTATCACAGGAACTTGTATGCCCTCACTAGGGGCCCTGAGAAGCAAGGAAAACTCAGCTAGAATATGCCACATCTGCTCTTGCCTTATGTGACCATTTTGCTTCAGAAAACAGTTTGTATATGTGGCTATTTATGAGTATATTGGAATTAACCAATCTTGCAGTGTGCGTATTTCTGCATGTACATATTTTCTTCCTACTCCTCCTAGCCCACATAAAAAGTGGTGTGTCCCTCTAGATTAGTATATGCCACTATTATAGTACTTTTTCTTTACAGGATTAGTGTCATTTCACCTTAATCCTTAATGTTCAGATAACATATTTTGAACTTTTGAATTACCAAAATACAATGTCTCTTCCGGAAAATCCATAATTCTGCCCCAAAGAAAATGGTTCTTGTTTATTGTGAAACGAAAACTAGGAATGGTAAGGCCAAAAAGTCAATGCCATTAAGCTTTATGTCCTAAGAAACATGATTTTTGGGTCCCTAAAAAGAAAAATGACATATTCTGTAAGAGAGAAAAATTAAATTTAAAACCCAACAACAAATACAAAACCACATCTAAAGTGTGTTTTTTTAAATAAACAAATTTAGAAATCTAAATAGCATTCAGCAAGCAGAAGACTGATTTTTCTCCAATATATATAGGACTTCAAACACATTTTTAATAGCAATCATTATAATTCTAAACTTGAGATGATTCAGAGCAGGAAAAGAGAAATCTGGAAATGACAAGTGATGCTTCACATGCAGCACATTACAAGGGAATGGCAGCCAGTAAAGAATCCCAGGCACTCACAGGCTCTTATTAAATTTCTGTGCCAGAGTTGACATTCCTGTAGAAAGAGAAGAAAATCACCTACCTCTGGCTGTTTGTGAGGCTTAATTAGTGCATATTTGTAAAGCACTTTGAAATCCTTGGATGAAAAGTGCTGCATAAGTGAAAAGTATCATTATTTTATTAAAATGAGATAAAAGCAACACAAGCCTTTTTCTTCTTTTAAATCCTAAGTCAGCAATATCAATGTAGAGGAAGTAATGAATTTATTAGTAAATGGCTATAAAAAAGAATAAATGCAGGCCAAATTATTTTTTCATAGGCTCATGGAAATCTTTGACTTGGCAACAGTTTAAGAAATAATCTTGACTACACTTTTATTCACAACATCCTTGACAAGGTCTATCTAGCTCTTGTCTGAACACCTCCAGAAAGGAAGTGCTCACTACTCTGTCAAGGCAGTTCATTCCATTTACGGATATATAAAACTGTTGGAAAGTTCTTTACAACGCAGCTCTAAAATCCAGTTCAATTAGTCTTAGAATTACCCACTGAAACCACACAGGGAGTCTAATTCTTCTTTGATATGACTGCTTCACAACCCTCGTTTACTCAAGCCTCATGACATGGTCTTGAACCTTTACCATCTCATTTGCTCTCTGAAATCAGTTCCATTTTCTAGTGTGTGTCTTCAAATGAAGAAGCTAAAATTAACATAATACTTATGACGTGGTCTGAAATCAGTATAGAATATAAGATCCTATATCTGACCTTATACTATTGTAGGCTAAAACTGTATTGACCTTAAACAAAAATGTTAAGAAGACATTATCACAAAGTAGCCTAATATTGACTGCTTGTAATTGACTGTGTACATATATGTGTGTGTGTGTGTGTGTGTGTGTGTGTGTATATATATATATATACGTATACATATATATATATACGTATACATATATATACACACACATATACATATATTTAACATTGAGTTGTATATAGTTATGTAATATTGAGTTATACAGTTATATGTAACACTAACTTTTATATATATATAAAATTGTGTGTATACACACAGACACACATTCAAAATTTTACTTATAACTACCATGCTTTCAACTTTTTAGTCT